TTCACGTAGGTGGAGTTAACCAAAGATTTGAGTAAAACCAGCTAGGATTCGCCCAGAAACTGTTCCATACTGTCCAAATCAGTGTTCCGAGTGCAACACGACGAGCCCTATCTACTGGTACAATCAGATTTCCAATAGATCAAACTATCGTTGAGAAAAACCTCAAATACTGCATTCTTCTGCTGAACTTCGAGCCAAAGATTCAAGTAAAAGTAGCTAGGATCCACCAAGGAGTCTGTTCCAAGGGTTCCAATGAGTGTTCCAAGTACAACTTGATGAGCTCTATCCAATGGCATGTTCAGATTTTTCATAGCTCAAAGTATGATTTTTGGGACCGTAGATAGTGCTATGAAAACCTGAAAACCGTAGTTTGAGCTATGAAAAATCTGGATATACCATTGGATAGAGCTCATCGAGTTGTACTTGGAACACTCGTTGGAGCACTTGGAACAGACTCCTAGGTGGATCCTAGCTACTTTTACTTGAATCTTTGGCTCGAATTTCAGCAGAAGAATATAATATTTGAGGTTTTTTTCAACGATAGTTTGACCTATGGGAAATCTGATTGTACCAATAGATAAAGCTCGTCGAGTTGCACCCGAAACACTGATTGGAACAGTTCGGAACAGTTCCTTAACGAATCCTAGCTGGTTTTACTCGAATCTTTGACTAACTTCACTCACATATCTATTCTCCACTTGCACTGTTGCCTTTTTTTCTGTTCTCGTCACTTAACAACATGACGACAACAGAAATTTGTGTCGTAATAACAGGAAAAAACCAATGTAATCAACTTTTTAAAAACGGTATGTCTATTCATTTGTTAGTAATATTCCAAAGTTAAAAAAGTCATACTGACATAACCCATATTCATGTGCATGATTATGCTGCAAATGAATACTTCTTGCTGAATATAAGAATATCATGATATCGTCCCTCATCACCGAAGCAGACGTCATTTTGGATGCGATGACTCAAATATTTACGACAATTTCTTTCTTTCTTTCTTCCTCTCGTTCTCTTCACCACGCTGATTTATTAATAGGTTGGATTTTTCCAAGTATGCGCAAACAACTGACTTTTTTTGTGATAAGAAAAAAATTTAGGTAGGTGATGTTGGAAAAAGTCTATATTATTCTATAGATTCTATACCATGGAGACCAATTTATATGATTGTAGTGATGTCATACTTCGTACAATATAGAACTATAATTGGAAAGGTAAGTTTTTGGTTTGGTAATATGTTGAACAAGTAATCATGTGAACTCAATATTTTTTTTGTGAGCTAACATCCGACTACTTTTATGCATAACCAAGAGAGGCTAAGTTCTTCCCACTTTGCCATATCTTTCAGTCAAATTATCGAGAGTCTCTTTCAAAAACCCATTTTTTGCAACACACATAGTTTTTTTTGAAGTCAAATACACTAGTGAAAAAAATCATCTGAACATTTGTTCACTTTTTAAGAATTATAAAACTACTACGGACATGAGTGTATATCTTGCAACCTGAGTAACTCTATTATAGTTTTGGATCAGAATAACAAATATATTGCAAGTCATACAAACAAAAGCGAAACTTTCTACCTGGCTCAGTAGTTTCTCTAATCTCTAGCTATCATTTAATCATAGTAAGACTTTTTGACTAATATAGAACTACGTGACACAACATTTCTGCGTGCGACGCTGCTCTGCAAATTAAGTGTTCTTTTCTTTCTGCGTTAGATTATTGCATCTTCTAATCTTTCATTAATAAATCTGTGAGTCCGGACTGCAGCACAGATTGCGTGTGTGGATGCGGGACATGCGTAAGACCATTCGGTAAGAAGTTCAGAATTGATGAACTGCTTATGAATGCGATCGAATCTGATCTGTTTCGTCAGTTCAGCTTAGATGAAACGAACTGTTTAATGAATTCTTTCGGCCTTATGGGAACTACTTGAGCAGTTAGGCTCAGATCAACACATGATTGAAGAAGTCATCTAATGGACATCATCTATCCTGAAAGACAGATTGTTTTTAATGAAAAACTAGAATGTTGACACTGACACTTGTCACTAGATTGCTGGAAGCTTCACCTAAGTTACATTAGACATAATCTCGAATACCAAAGGTATCACTTGAGTTGTTCGCAACATCGTAAGTGATGTCTCTTCCTTTCCATGTGACGCTTCTAGCATCACATGTAATATAACCAGCATCCTGAGCGATGTCTTCAGCATCGTAGTGATGCTTCTATTATTCAAAGTAATATATTCAGGAAGTCAAGCGATGCCTCTAGCAAATCAATGATATTGCTAGTATCTCATGTAATGCTACTGACACACTACTTAATGTCTCTGAGATTTCAGATATCGATGCTACTGTGGGTGCTAACTCAGGTTACGAGGTGTGCCTGTGGGTTACTGTGGGCATGCGCTCCTATGTAGGTCTCGGATTCGGATGTGATTTCGGGAATGGATTTGAGCGTTGAGATGTGGTTGTTAGTATTAGGGTTCCAGTTGCCTTCGGTTCATTTAAATACTCACACCGAAACCCTGTAGCCGCACCAACACAACAGTTTATAAAATTTTAGAAGATATTTTAATTTAACATGAAAAAAACAAAAAAATTTAATTTAGCACAGAAATGTCTGCACAGCAATTTTGCACACGTTAATGTCATGTAACCAATTAAATCTGTGGGTAAGTCTCGATACATAGAAATAATAATTACATTGCAAAACATTCAGTTGCTCAATAGTCAATATAATTTTAATGGTTAATAATGTAGGTCTCTACATATCGCCGAGTTTCTTCCCTAATCTAATGATAGAAATTGCGAGTTGATAGCAATATGTAGCCAACATTTGGCGTCACAAATTCAGAACACACGGTTAAAAAAGCTCGTTAGCGCAGTCCCTTTGGAACTGAAATGTGGAACTCGCATATCTTCTTTAGTTTCATTATACTAATGAGAAAAATGCAATGTTTAAATTCTCTACAAGACGATGGTTCTTTTCTAATAATAATCGATTGCCAGAAAATGCTGCCTGTTTTATTTCCATTACCTCGAACAGAAATTTTTTCTTTCTTTTTTTGCTGGAATCGCTATGGCCTGTAATGGGGAGGGAAGAGGAGGGAGAGGGAAGCCGCGAAAACTTGAACTTTAAACGTACAGTCACTACTTCCTTCGAAAATATATGTGAGTTCCACGAAAAACGTCATCTTCGTTCATTTTTATTGTCATTTTTACCAAATACTTCAGAAATTAGGCACACAGTTATGCAACAATGTTCGTTTTTCTCGAAAAATAAATCGAAAATGAGAAATTAGGGTCTGTTAAGTTGTGTGAACCTGAGACCGAAACCGAATAGAATCGAATCTAGATTTTTTCATTCTTTTCAGTGTCTGATCCGGACATAGATTTCTCTTCGATTAAAAACCTGACCAAATTTAATAGGAGGCAAAGTAGTTGAAGATTCTGTTATATACGAGGAGAAACAAAAATGAAAATCGACTTCGATAAAACCGAGAAATGATTTTTGATATTTCACTCCAATGGTTTCTGGTAGGACTGTACAAGAAATTTCACGATCGCGATGGGTGAGTGTTTGTCGTCCACTCGCCTACGCATACTCATGCAGTTATAATCATTATTTTGCAGATCAAGAGAGAAGTTCAACTGACTTTTATGGCAATGGCTTCGAAATCACCTTTCAGTATCGACCCGGATAAAAATTAAGGTTTTACGAAACACGATTGGGAATGAGTGTCGAAGTATATGACCAGAAAAGTGAGTCCAGGATGTGATTGTGAATGGGGAACTGCATGGACGACAGTGTAGGTATAAGTGTGGATATGGGTCGAGGTGGGTTTCAATCTTCTACGCAACTGTCCACACTTACATCCATACCTTTCTTACTTTTAGCATCTTTCATCGAAGAAATCGGAGGCAAAGTGATGATAAATCTTTGTTTATATTTTCAGATTCAGATCTTATCCATTTTATTTAACTCTATTCCAACTACTTCACTTGACTTCCCTGAGTCTATAATTAATGATGACATCCGATCCTATAGATTTGGAGACTGGCATCCCTTATGCAGCAAAATCAGTAACGAATGACGCTTACACTCGATATGAGAAAATATCACAATGTCTAAGTCAGACGGGAAAAGAAGCTATATTAGATCAAGCAATAACCTCGGAAAAGGCTCGTATCCAAGACAAGCAGTCTAATTTTTGCAGCCCTGATAGATTTAGTATAATAGGGTCCAAATCCGATGTAATTCAATCAAAGTCTGCCGAAGGTTGTAGCAATCAAATAGCAGTCGACGGAGCCACTTCGATAGCTTTCCACAAGACTCTATCGGAAAAATCCGTTAACAAGGATATTGAGCCAAAGAAATATGTCTCGGATGTCCGTCGTAGGGTTTTGAACCTGTATCGTGATCGTTTAAGAAAACATGGTGTTCATTCGACAATATCTATGGAGGCAGCTGGGTTCCGATATATTTATATTGGTGATACAGTTCGATGCGATAGATGCCAATTGGAAGTGTCCGAATGGACGCTCGATATGAAACCATTTTCTATTCATTCAGAACGTAGTCCGAATTGCCCATTTGTTCGTTCTGTGAAACCGACAAGTCTTGTCTCTCAATTATCTTCATCATCTATAATGATCACCACACTCAAAGTACTGACTACCAATCCAGATGAATCGGAGAATTCTTCTGAATGTCGAAAACTAGAAACTTCCAACGATAGAGGTCAGGTACAGACACTTTCCGAAGCAGAAACTCTAAAACAGATACGCCGTCGCAATTTTTCGCATTGGCTTCATAAAAAGTCGCCATCTCGAGCACAAATGATCGAAGCTGGATTTTTCCACTGTAATGTTGGTGATCGTGTGATATGTTTATACTGTAATCTCATCTGTCAGCAATGGACGCTAAACGCAGACGACCCATGGCTAGTTCATAAAACTCTATCACCCAAATGTTCCTACGTAATGAGCATGCTAGCACGTCGCGAAACGACGGCTCTAGTGATTCTGAATGAAAATTCCGCTAGTAATCGGTCATCAGTAGTAGCGGACACCGAAGCACTTCGTTCAAATGGCATTGTATCCACCGCAGCTTGCCACAGCGCATTCATCGAAATACCAAGGCGGTATGCATCATTTGCTAATTGGCCCAGCGAACAGCTACCTGCTGTCGATGATCTTGTCCGAGCAGGATTCTTCTATACTGGTAAAAATACAATTGTAACGTGTTTCTATTGTAATGGATCGCTTCAAAATTGGGGTTCTAATGATAATCCAATGATTGAGCATGCAAGATGGTTTCCTCATTGTGCCTATGCCAAGCAACTTTGTGGCGATGATCTTTATCGAAAAATAGAGGAATCAAAACGATTGGCTCAAGGTTAGTGAATATGTCATTAACATGAACAATTTTTAATAGATAAAATTTACCTGAAACATGAGAAAGTCTAGCAACTTTCTACTTTCTTTCGATTGTTAAAATTTGTGAGATCTCTGAAACTCTAGGAATATGATTTGCTATCAGAATCGTAAAAATAAGAAAAGTATGCAGAAATTTAAAACTGTGGAAGATTTCAGACATTTTAAGAATTTGAATAGTTTTAAGGATTGTGAGCATGTAAGCAGTGTCAAGAATAAGTATGCTTCCAGTAACATCACTAATGAAACCAAGTGTAGTCTTTTGAACTTGTATTAGCTAGTCATATAAACGACAGCATCACAGGTATTGACAAAAGTGGCAAAATAGCTATGCACAATGATCTAGTTGAATAAATACCACTGCTACAGATTTACTAGTGGATTACTATTGATTTATTTATTTGTTTGCTGAAAACTTATTCAGATGTTACTTCTCGATTTGTTAGCCAAGAGTAAATGTTTCCGCGTCTACTAATTAGTAAATTAGCCAATAGTATATTGGTTGAAATCGATTGAAATTCATATGTGTTATACGAGTTTCCTCTACAATTAAATAAAATTGCTGTCTATGATCGGTTGTATTGAAACAAATAGCTGATAATGACCGATATTTAGAATGGTAACAATTTTTGAACAAAATCGCCTAAAGATGCCAGATGAGAATACTGGTATGTTCATTGCTTTGGTTCAATTTTAGATGAGATTTACTTTGCAAATTTGCTATATAAGCGCTCATGTTCTCGAATATATAACATGTCAATTTCTTTTGCTAGAACGTACCAGAACAAATGAGTCTGCGAACTATGGAAATTCAAATACGCAAAAGCTGCAAATAGCCGATGAGAGCACATTGTCACGCTATGTTGCTGCTCGTTTGGACTTGCCAGTGTCGCAAAGACTGCTGGATAAACCGTTTAAATTGTCGATCATCAAACGATGTTGGGAAGATCAACTTCGATTAAAACGTAAAAATAGTTGACCTTTCTTTTGGTCTGCAAAGTTTTTCATAATTAAAAATGTCATTTCAGAAGATGACTTCGAAACAGATTCGGATCTACTGATAGCTTGTATCATTCTTCAGAAACAAATCGATTGTATTAATGGTAAAAAAGAGAATATCATTGTGCCCAGTGTGAGAATGCAACAAATTAGTGAGCAGGAACAAGCAGGTATGTTTCGTGAAAGCAAGTATCTTGCATCAATATTTACCATAAAATAATTGTTTAGAAACGCGTACTAGATTATCTTCATCGGTTCCTACTTCTACAACGCAAGAACATACCGCTAGATCGGCTGCTTCAAATGTCGAAAGGATACATCCATCGAATACGTGCAATAGCGAACTGGACTCAAGGATACCGGTGAAACCAACTGCTACAGAAACAAAAGCAGCGAGTGTAGCTCCTAAAATCACATCTCCAGAGCCGATGGAAACTAGTGCTACCACTTTGACGAATCCTTGTGCTTTGTGCATGAGCGAAGAAAAACGTATCGCATGCATTCCATGCGGACATTTCGCCACATGTGTTTCGTGTGGCCACTCACTACGGTCATGTCCAATATGTAGGCGAGAGATAGAAGCGTTCGTTCGCATTTATCTTTAGCATCTTCATTAAGACGATTGTTTTTGTTATTATTATTATTGATGTATATCCACATATAGAAGACGGAAAAGGGATATCGTGTGCTGAATGTTGTGAACAGTTAATTATAAAGCCATACATACAGAGAAAGAGGGAAAATAAAATCGAGTGTGGGCGTGGATGTGGATGCCATTGTGAGTTTCTAACTATTATATACATCTACACCCACACTTCACACCAACCCCGGTTTTGAAGGCAAGTACATTATAATATAATCATTCGAATCAGACAAACACATTGACTACTTTCGAAAGTCACGTCGATGCTTGTAGAAAAATTTTCAACACTATTCCATATCAAGACTAAAATGTGAAACATGATGGTGGGTTACCTGAAGAAATCTTACAGTTAAGGAAAGATTTTATTAAAACTGTAAATGTTAAAATAGTCTCAGATACATCCTATCATGTGTTGTTGTAATCTGGATATTCTAATACCATTATTCATACTGGAACTATGATACAGTATTTTGCAAAGCATATTGTTGCACATATTGTCGAATGATACGATTGTACTGTTCACGATCCTCTCGATCGTGATGGACTGCCTCGGGATTTGCCGGTTCCATGATATTTGGATCAGTTAATAGTGCAGAAATCGAGATTAGAACATTTTCCAACGTCAACGCCTAGGTCCACTGTAATTCTAGTATATCATGACAAATTTGACTATCAGGATAGATGTTAGGATGAAACATTCTTGTACTAAACATGACCTTTGGAGGCTTCCATGGGTGGTCATCTGAGAGTTTCACGTCTAAGATGAAAAAGCCACCTTCATAGAGTGTATCAAGAGGACCATCGATGGATACATAGTAATAATGAAGATTACCATCAGTAACAGGACGAATACATACGGTTGGTACAGGGTTATGCTTTAGAATTGCAAATTCATTATTCATATATGTAGCTAAAAGCGAAGACATATCTAAACTAAAATGAATAAAAGAGAACTTATTTGTCAGGAAGCATGAAATGATCGAAATATATAAATGAATCAA